GTGGGTGTGGGTGTGGGTGTGGGTGTGGGTGTGGGTGCGGGTGTGGGTGGGGGTGGGTGTGAGTGTGGGTGTGGGTGTGGGTGTGGGTGTGGGTGTGGGTGTGGGTGGGTGTGGAGCGTGGGGTGTGGGTGTGAGGTATAGGTGTGGATGTGCGTCGGTATTGGCCTTCTTTTTGACCAAACCCCCACCGACACCCACACCCACACTCATACCCGCACCCTTTATTCAAAAGAATCAGTTCTGCTATCCTTTCACATATGCCATAAGCTGTAATGTTTTTTTGTTTTTTGATTAGGTTTTTAGGCCAATCGTCTTGAATGTGATTTCGATATGGTTTGTATCACAATAGCTAAATTGAAGGATGGGAAAATATACTTACATGGTTTTTGTGAAACACGGAAAGTAATGAGTGTTGAAGGTATATAGCGAGAAATGTGGATACCCCCCTCCCGTATAGACCATGACAGACGCGTCACGGGGCGTAGCAGACAGACGGAGAGGCAGATTCTGTAGGATCTGGCGACTGCATGTGATTATTAAACCAAAATGAAAGATGCTTGGCTAATACAAAAGAACTGAAAATCGAAAGGGTCGACTCCAGCATAGCAACACCTGAGGAAGAACGAAGGGCGCCTAGATTATTACAACACAATTCAGAAAATATTTCAGATAAACAGAAAGAGCGAAAGGCACTTGATTGAATATATTTTCATTTTCGGAAGACATTGCTCCTTAAAAGATCTGTCCTCTATTTTCAGACCCCAGAAAGTGCCGCAGACCACAATAGAGAGACAGACAGAATAGATAGGATTCTCTTATGCCACAACCGATGACGATTGGTCATCCTAGTCCTATAGAATCTGACGGGCATGTTGCTATGATTATCTATCCATTCTATGTCTGCAATACTCAATGTGAGCAGAGGTTCGATTCTCTGTTAGGATGGCCCCATCGTGTTTCACCTTTTTGATCCCACAGGGATTATGCTAAAAGCCTTTCTAGAATAGTTAAGAGGATTATTTATTTTAGATATAATAAATGAGAATTATTTAGATTATATGAAAAACATCGCTATTATTGGTGGTGGATGGTATGGATGTCATATTGCATTAACTCTAAAGCAAAAAGGACAATATGATGTGACATTATACGAAGCAAAATCTGACATATTTCTCGGTTGTTCAGGCCAATTTGGCATCCGATTACATGCTGATCCACATTATCCCAGATCAAAAAAACACGTGAAAGTTGTCAAAATTATTTTTACAATTTTCAAAATGTATATTCAGATCTATTAATCAAACATAAATATTTAATATATGGTTTAGGAGTCGAAGATGTAGATGGTTGCCCATCTAAAGTTAAGGAATCACAATTTAAATTTGTTTGTGAAGAATTTGATTAATGTCGAGAAATAAATATCGAAGAGTGGGATTATAAAAATTTAATTTGTGCTTTCAGTGTTTTTGAACCGAGTATTGCAGTTGGAATATGTCTACGTGAAACATTTAAAAAACTTTTAAAACAATCTGATGTTAATCTAATATATAATTATAAAGTGGAAAAAATTGAGAAAGCAAATCCCAATAAACTTCAAATTAATGCTGAACATATCTTTGACTATGTAATAAATTGTACATATTATCAAGATTTAATCATAGATTCGATTTTCCCGTTTAGTATTGAAGTGATATATCAACCATGTTTAGCTTTATATTATGAAGACAATGAAAAGTCTATTAATGATGATGCTTTTTCATTTATTATCATGGATGGATGGTTTCCATGTATAATGCCGTATGAGGATGATGAAGAAGAAGAAGATGTTAATCGAAAATATATACTTACACATGGGAAATATACAATTATGGGTTCATTTAAAACATATTATGAAGCACTTGCTTGTAAAAATCAATTAAATGATACATTTATTGAGAAAATAGTCAAACCATTGTGAGAAAAGGATATAATCAAATATTGGCCAAAATTTGAAATAGATTCAAATATCTAGGATGGAAAAGGACAATTGCAACAAAATTAAAAACTGAAAAAGAATTTCGAAATGCAGTTACATGGGAAAAAGATAGTGTGATCTATGTTATTTCTGGAAAAATAAATAATATATTCGATGCTGAACATGAAGTATTCTCTTTAATTAAACACGAAAATATCCTTAAATGGGGAGAATATAATTATGTCAAAGGTGGAGAATTAGATAGATCAATAAATGAAGTTACTGAAAAACGATTGCGAAACCTAAGAAATACTTCTGAATTACAAGTGTATGATGAATTATACTTGCAATTTAACAATAATTAATGAATTTACAATACATACTGTCAAACATTTATCTTGATTAGATTCTGTATTGTTTAAATTTTCTGAAATAAATTTATGAATCCTATACCATGTTTGCACTAGAGCATTATGTTAGTAGCTTAATTAAGAAAACTCCGTAGGGCATCTGAGTACCTGATTTCGCAAAGCTAAATAAAAATCATCTGACTTCCACTGGCAAATGTACCTGGGAAACGTTAGTGGAAAGGAAGTAAACATTAAGCTCAAAAGAAAGAAAAAGTTCAGTTAACTACCGATTCACCGAGTGAAAAATATATGATGCTATTTTTGAGAATCGAATGTAAATCAATACCTCATATCCATTTGGAATATGCAATATTAGCTTCGACATTTGGGAAACTTTTACGTGTCACTATTTCTTTCATGATACTTTCAGTTTCTCTTTCGACCCACACTTGATTTCGCTATTAGAAAGACCTTTTAGTTATACACACAAATAGGCCAAGATCATTTGATGTTTACTCCGTTCTTGATATTAGCGGACTCTACTCTTAAGACAAAACTTCTTAGCAAATGGTCAACCTTTTTCCTGGTATTCACGCATGCGAACTTCACTTGATTTACACTCCTGCTCTGCAATTACTATCCATTTAAAAATATAGTGTGAGTAATTGTGAACGGAATAACTGGAGAACGCTGACAGTTAACGACTTGCGGTTTTCATCGTTGGAAAAAGGACATCGGCAGACGCCGATTTATGTTAGAAATCATCAACTGATGATGGTCAGTGTTATTTAGCTTTCGATGGAAATTTTAAGATCTATACGAGGCCAAGCTCACATGCTTTTCCGTTCAGAAGTCGGCTACTTGGAAAACCTTTAGCTAGTGACTTTAGATTGGTTTAAAAATAAAAACGCATCACCAATCGACTCAACATGCTCGAATATCAATTTCGGGGTCGAGGAAAATACTTCTAACTCCTGAACGGAAGAAGCGTGCTAGCTACGGATGCGCCAAACTCGATTCCGATTCTTGGCTTGGAATCGAGTGGAACTGACCGGAATCGAAATCGAGTAGAACTGCCTGGAACTGATCTAGAATTTAAATGGGAACTGGCCTAGGATCAGTTTGGAATTAAGAGTTTGATTAGTCAATCAGCTTTTTTCATAGGTTCTGATTAGTCAGTGACATTTTGTTCACAATTACTAATATCTTTCGATCGAGAAATTTGATTGAAAGATCAAAATTTCAATTCTACACTAATTCTATGTCAATTCTAGGTCATTTCCAATGCAAATTCTACGTCAGTTTCAGTCAATTCCAGTTTTGATTTCGGTCAGTCGCAGTGGATTCCAATTCCGATGCCAGTCAGTTCCACTCAGTCCTAAGAATCGGAACTGACTGGAATCTGAATCGGTGCATTCCTCATGCCAGCTCGGCCTTGCACAGATCTCAAAATGTCCATGAAAAGCTGACCAATACTGATAACTGATCAATTAATGATTTCTAGCACAGATAGATGTCTTCCGATATCACCTTTCAAACTGTAAAAATCTCTAGCATTGTGTGCAGCGGTGTCCTGCATGGGTATGACTTTCTGTACCCGGAACCATATAATCCGCTTTATCATTTCTTCGGGAAATGCTAATGAAAAATACCGAGCCCTTTCTGAGAGAAATGAAAAATACAGCTGAATCTCAAATAAAATCATGGTTTAATTAAGACATATTCTTTTTGCTACGTCCAAATCTATACGTCCTAATCTTTGTACGTCCTAATCTCTGTACGTTCAAATCAATACCTTCAAATGTATACATAAGTCATTTTTCTATTGACATCTGAGAACCAATTCTCTTCAAGAGATTTTTCAGGATAAGGCATGTACATCAGTTTTTACATTTTCGGTGACTAATAGAAGCTATTAAAATTCTCAGGGTCATAGCATCGTTTTACTGTATGATATGATGGTACAGAAGAACTCGTATTTGGTGTTTCAGTATTTAAATGAAACAATATGAATGATAAAAATTTTTATTTAAAAAATTGTGGTTTGTTAATATACCTGCTTGTTCATCTGTCATATATTGTCATTTCCAACACCCCATACATCTTGAACATTTTGTTCTTCTAGATTTTCATTTTGACTTAATGAATTCATTCTTTTTCGAATCGGAAACATGTCAGGAGGTATAAATGATTTTGCAATGCCAATACTTGATGCAGATAAACCACTCTTTGAACAATTTCTTAAATGAAATAGAAGAAGAAGAAAAATTGACGATGCTGGATAATTGAACGTTCGAAGCGAAGCTTTCAGACGAGATAAATAATTAAAATACTGTTCACATAATTCCGTGTTAATTCCATCGAATTTACCATTATGAATTGGATGATCAGCCTTCATCTCTCCTTGGCAAATTTGACGTTTGTAATTTTTCATATGAAATCTATCAATAACAACAGTCACATTAACTAATTTTTCTGTATGCTCTGATCGCTTAAGAAAAGTAGTTCCAATATGTCGATGCCAGTGAAGATGAAGTGTGCAGGCTGAATCATAGACAAGATCATTTGGAATTTCAGCCTTTCGTTGTAACATTCGAAGAAAATGGCGTGTCATACGTCTCATTCCCTCGGCACGAATGTTCTCGTCAAATCCTATAACAATTTGACAGGACAGAAAGGTAACTAAAACTCCATAACCTTTGTTCTTGTGAATGTTCTCCAAGTCATCTCGATAAACATTACATTGTGTAGTATGATGAAGAAAATCATGATCAATCTGATCTAATTCATGAGCTAATCTGTGTAAATCAATGGATTGTTGAGGAAGAACCATATTAGTAGCTGATTGATGACTTGGACAATATAGAGTGGAATGATCTTAAAATTGAAAAAAAGAAAAACGGATAAATTAGCATTCCTCGAAACAAGTATTGTAATTTATATAGCTGTTTAAGAAAAGTAATTTGTTGTTTTATATCCTGGCATGAAAAATATTTCTTTCTATATATATCGTTAGGATACCGTATTTGGTTTTTCTGCTGCAATTTTTGATGTATAAATGATGTAAAACCTGACTGATCAATCATATACTATCTATGTATATGCATCAATTCAATTATAAAACTTTCAATGTTAGAAACGCTGTGTAATGTGAAATATGTAGAAATGTCACAGATAAATATGTTTTATTATTTAACTGAGTAAATGAACTTCAAGTGCAGATTGTGCTATTCATTCAAATAAAAGTGATGTATAGTGAATAGTTATTTTGAAGTCTACATACGATACTCATTCTTAAGAATGAAAAATAATTGTAGGACGAAAAACAACTCGCCATTCTTACGTTTTATTTCATTTTTTATGCTGTTTTCCTGCTGCTGTTGTGTTTGATGGCGTCGTCGCATTGGTGCATAGGGACAACCAATATTTATTGGTCCAGTTTCAGGAATTGAAACATCTACAATATCAGTGTACGCACAAACAATGCGACCACATGTTTGGTGTCCATCACAAAGTGCTATTTTGGAATATATTCGTTTATCACACTTTATAGTAGAAACATATTGATGACGTGACCAGAACAGTACAAATAATGAATAATAATAATATGAGAAACCTTCTAAGAAACTTGATCTTGATGTTGTTGATAACGATAACGGTAACAGCACTTGTGCTTCATTTCCAATCATCAATTCAAATCTAGCTAACTCCCATAATATATATACTACTTCAAATCGTTGTGATAAAGCATTGGGAGTAATGAAATTGGCAGATGATGGATAAAGTTCATACAATGTGTTAATAATAGAACGACAAAATCCTGTAAAAGTTGAATCATCGTCGATCAGAAGAGCCGAACACCAATGTAGAAGAACTTTTGAATAAGCCAACTCACCAGAAAAATGAATACAATCCAAGGGGGAAACAGCAGAATCCATGAATCCACTTGAATCCGCTTGAATCCACTTGAATCCGCTTGAATCCGCTTGAATCCACTTGAATCCGCTTGAATCCGCTTGAATCCACTTGAATCCACTCGAATGGATATTGTTCTGTTTTGGGAATAACCAAGGGAGAAACAGCAGAATCCATGAATCCATGAATCCACTTGAATCCACTTGAATCCACTTGAATTCACTTGAATCCACTTGAATCCACTTGAATTCACTTGAATCCACTTGAATCCACTTGAATTCACTTGAATCCACTTGAATCCACTTGAATCCAAGGGACTGGATTCTGCTGTTTCCCCCTTGATACAATCAGAATGATTAAGAGATTGTTCAGTAACAACTCGATAGTCTCAAATTTGTAAAGAATATAGTAGTATAGTTATCAGGAGTGTTGATTCAAATCTATAAAAATTGAGAAGATATCAATTTTATCGATGAAAAAAAGCATCACAGGACAGTAATCAAAATGTTTTGATAAATTTTAATTTCAAATAGGTTTTCATTTGTCTTAGTTTATTTTTATTAACACTTTGTTAGTCTTCTAAATTGATACTACTCAGAAAACCCATTTTACTCAATTTTCTTAATTTACAACGTCAAGAAATATTCAATATATATAATGTGAAACAAAACTTACTTATACCACTTTGTTCAATACTTGAACAACTATACTTCAAGTGACATGGCTTACAATATGCGTGAATAACAGACGCCTCTTCAATTCGATCGATATAAAGCACCCTCGTATAATAAGCAAATTTATAATCAGCTAAAATTTTTTTTTGCATTGAATACAAATGTTTGTAAATGGCATAAGAACTTTTGAATTAATTATGGTGAGTTGTTGCGATGTCATTGTTCCTTGTTCTTTAAATTTTCGAATAATATCATTCAGTGATGGTAAATTAAGAAGAGATTGAACAAGTGAACGGTTGCATTCGATAAGGTTTAAGGTTATTTCAACATCTTTGATAACAAATGTCTTTGGAGACAAATGAAAATTTAGAATACTTGTAAAAATTTCGACTTTATCAGAGAACTGAAGTATCCGTGAACTTGTTAGTAAAGGTTGAAATATAGCGTCCAGTCGAGCTACCATCATGAAAGCTTCAAAGCCAAGATCTTGAACCATCGACGACAAATTATCAATTTCGATAGCAGTAACCAATTGTACTTTTGAAAAAAAGAAGAGAGAATTTATCTTGAAAAAAGGTTAATTCAGATTGATAATCATAAAAATAAAATTAAAAATTCTATAAGATATCATGCAAATACTTTCTGTAATGGTTTTACTTCGGTGTTAGAATAGATAAACTGATCTTACCAGTTTCTCTTTCTTTTTATAGCGCAAGCATATGTATCGCTTTTCTTTCTTTCCATTTACATTAGCAAAAAAAGAGATACCAATAGGACTGTTTTACTGATTCAAACTCTCTCTCGTCAGTATTTATTCTAGTTTTCATTGGTCACAATAAAATAAAACTTTCAATGCGTATCGTTTTCAGTTTATTTTTCATAAGTTTATTCTTCTTGTTCAATGATCTGTTGCTTTATCTGACACAACCAAGGGAGAATAATATTGTTCGACAATAATGGAGAGAAAACAAATGTAAACGTAACAGATAACATAAGTATCATGAGGAAGAAAAAGTATATCATTAGACCAAAAACGAAAATTACTTGCTAAACGAAGCAAATATGTTAATGACAACAAAATATAACACTTTCATATTAACAAAAATAAACTAAAAGAAAACCAAAAGCACTGTGACATAAAAATCACAATGTTAAACAAAAACTACAACACAGCAAAAAAAGCAAAAAGCAATAACATCTAACAAATCAAAGAAATATAAAGCGGAAATGAAACAAAATTCAATAAACAAAAAGAAAGGCTAAATTCTATCAGTTTCAGATATAACGAAAATGAATAGAATATTTCTGAGTAAGCTAGCGAGATCAGTGCACAAAATGTCAAAAAACAAATTGAATAAAATAAACAACAAAAAGCAAAAAGATTATTTAGTTGTATGTTTGTTGTTGCCATCACTACCTGAACGAAGCTTACTCTTTACTAATGGTGGTTCACCCAATTGAGTTATGATCTTTTGTGATGCTCGGTTACGCAATTGTTCTTGTTCAAGAAGAAATGCATCTGTCTCTATAAGGGAGAAAAGATAATAGATAATCTTTTGATACTTGATGCATCTAAAATTTTGCCTAAGATTCACTCGTCAGATTTTTAATGTCATAATCAATAAAAGAAGAAATATGAAAATAAGACTGGATGTTATACAGAGGATTTTCATCCTTTAATAGGAATATTCTCGAGTCTGTTGTCGAAGTAAAAATTAGACGAACCTTTACTATTCATATATACTGGACG